ACCCCGGAGAGAACCCACGCTGCACGGGGAGAACATGGAGACTCCACGCAGGAAGATCCCGGGTGTCCTCACTGGGACACGAACCAGCGACCTTCTAGCTGCGAGGCGACGATACTAACCACCGCACCACCTTGCAGCCCAGAAGCCAACTAATGATATCGTAAGATTGCCTAGATCCCCCTCAGGCTGCCAGAACAGCTCTGACACACCAAAGCATGAACACTGGACCTCTGGAGGCATCCTGTGGTGTCCAACACCTAGACATCGGCTGTGGATCCTTTGGGTTCTCTGGGTTGATTAATGGGGCCTCATGGATCGATCTCCCCATTGGTGCATCCTGTAGATGCTCGATTTATTGAAATATGAGGAGTTGTTGGAGTCAATCCTAAATATTTTATGTTGTCCTGCTTTGGGAGACCAATGCTGCCATGGTGCTTGATCTGCAGCACACTTTAGCAAAACACTGAACTGTAATGATTAAGTTTGTCTGTCAGTGGCTTTGTTGTTGTGGCTGATCAGTGTTCATGGAGTTAGACTCAGAGAAAAGGTAATAAATCAATAAATAATATCACTGTAAAGCCAGAATAAAAAGGAAGGCCTCTAGTTTGCTTTAAAACATTTTTTAAACACATCAGCACTCTCTGCTGCCCTCAGATCTTCTGGAAAGCTGCTCCTGACACGTGGACCACAACAACAACAGGCTGCCTCACTGTGGGCCTTTTGTTCTGACATTAAAAGGCCCAAACCAGAAGACCTGATGGTTCTGGAGGGTTCACAGGATAAACAGGTACCAGTAAGAGCTTTATAAACCTAGAAAGGGATCTTAAAAACAAATCAGAAAGATATCAAGTGCAAAGACTTTAAAACTGGTGTAATGTTCTCATACACCTGCTGCTGCTGCTGAGTCTGAAGGCAGCTGAAGTGGAGAAATATTCTTCTAGCAGGTAATAATCACCTCACTTTTTATTGTATTTGTTGGGTTTTCATGTATATTTTATCACAACTCTAGCTCTAAATTAGCCAGATTCATATCTATAATTGATAATCCTGTGTAAGGCCTTAATATTTCTCATAGTCCGGTAAGTTGAAGCAGCAACTGTATAATATAAATAACCGTGATCTGACTCGACTAGGAGGTCCAGAAATACTGTATGACAAGATTTTAGGTTAGAGTGCTGCTATAAATGTTAATTAAATTAAAAGAAAATAGGTCAGGAGGACACACATATAGCTATAGTTTGAGGTAAGATATGTAGGTTATCATCCAACATTGTTTTATAGCATAAAGAATACCACAGGCAACAAAAAGTATGGTAACTTAATTTTCAGCGTATATACAGTATATATATATACCTCCAGACCTACTTACTTTCATAGCAGCACTTAAATCTAAAATCTTGCCAGAGTAATATTTCTGGACCTACTTGCCAAGTTACCATCATTTGTATTATTATACAGGGATTACTTTAACTTACCTGATAAATATTAAGGCCTTACAAAGATAATACAGTAACGGACATTAACCTGACTGAGTCAGATCTGAAGTTGTGCCCCAGAAAAATCAAGAAACCCCAAGAAATCCAAGGATAGGTCTAAATTCATTTTTAAAAATATATAAAATAGACAAAAAAGTATGAATAAGTGTACAAATAAATGAATAAAAATCAGTTTTAGAAATACTAATGAGTAAAACATGTAGTTGAAATCAAGAAAAACTTAAATATGAATGCAATAATATTTGCCAGTGACTAATTTCGAGCTAAAGTTGTGCCCACAGTAAAATAAACATGAAAGCCCAATAAATTAAAGTTTAGGGGGGGAAAAAAGATCAGGTGGATAAAATAGACCAAAAAAAGTATGAATAGGTGTACAAATAAATAAATAAAACAAAAGCTTTTGAAATACTCCTACTAATAGATTAAAAAAAATGTAAAAAATAAAATATTAAAATCAATTTTAAAAAAGAATACACATGAAAGTAAGAATATTTACCAACTAAGCTGTGATTTTGGTTTCAGATTACCTATTAAAGCAGTGTTACCATAAATGTAAGCAGCCGTGACCAGAACAAACCCACTCCGCAGGTATTTCGGTGTGACTGTACCGCATCACTGCTGTACTTTTCCGTCGCTGCTTCGGGCGGATTAGCGCCTCAGCGTCGCTCCGAGCGACACCAGCAGCTGCACACACATATGTAAATGTGTGAAAGTTCGCCTGCCTGTGATTGGCTGGAGGCCGGAGTTCCGGGGGCTCGGATTGGCTGCTGGGGAGAGGCACGTACGAGAGAACAGAGAAGGGGGGAAAGGGTACGAGTACGTCAGAGCACGAGACCGCCCCGTGCCTGTGTGCGTCATGACGCAACTACGACGCCGGTTGGATATAAAACGGAGCGGCTCGCGCGGATACTGAATGAAGCTGCAGCGGACAGAAAACAAACAAACAAACAAACAGAAGAACTTTAGTTAAATTTTGTCGGATTTTTTTTTGTAAACTTCGGTAACAAGAACCGGTGACTGGTTTCTTCAGCTGAGCGGGACAACCGAGAAGAGACGACCGAGATGAAATACATTATAGGAATTGGCGGGTACGTTTCACTATTTTTGTATTTATTCAGCAGCTAACTGTTTGCTAGCGTGTTGTCCTTTAATTGTTTGCTAACGTGTTCTTTAATGTTCAAACTCTGATAACGTAGTATGTGGAGGTAGTTAGCTGGAGTTTGGTGCCTGATTGTTGTGACTCAGTCATCTCGTGTAGCTTCGTGTTATTATTCCTGTTCTTCACCCAAACTAGTCCTTCTGGTGAAGTCCTTTCTGCTATAAAAGTGACCCCCGTTAGCTGGTGTCCGCTAGCTTTTTATCCTGTCAGACACATGTGTTATCAGCCGCCCGCCAGAAACACGTTTAAAGTCACGTCCGGTAACTTGTTCGGTTTGTTGACATGAATCGAGCGGGACTTTTGAAAATTCACCGCGAGTCTCAGTGAAAAGTGGAGGGAGATTTAACCTCAGCTCTGTCCGGAAGCACAATCCTTTATTATCATGTGCTGTATTGCTTGAATGCTTGGATGTCACTGCCAGCATCACTTTGTACTTTTCTTTTAAAGTTTTAATTTACTATTTTTTTTAATTCTTACTCATGTATAGTGATGGTATCTGGCTCCCTTCCGGATTAATAAACCTCAATGTTTTCATACATAGCAAGAAGTGATGCTGCCAATGAGAGAGAAGTAATAAAAAGAATATTGCACACTTTAATTAAATATTGCACACAGCACTGACTTTTATGGTAAACATACAGAGAATGTGCAATATTGCAAATGATATTGACATTATGATTATGAAGTGATAGCTGTGTGGTATTTAATTAAAGTGTGTTTACTTATTTATTTATTTATTAGGCACAGTTTAATTGCTTTCAATCTCAGATGGTTTCATCCAAAACTGAAAGACTTTGTGTTTGTACAGCATGTATTCATCATGTGGAGGATCATGTGTGTGTTTTTAGTCAAAGGGGGATTTCTAATCATAAAAATGTAAATGCTGAGCAGTGCAATAGCTTCTTTATTTCTAGGAAAGATCATTTAGTTTTACACCACAGTGTATTTTAACACATTTCTGACTCTTTTTTTTATTTCTCTACAGCGTCACTAATGGTGGTAAAACCACCCTGACAGACAGGTTGATCAAGACTCTGCCCAACTGCTGTGTTGTGCACCAAGACGACTTTTTCAAGGTGAGTGTCGGTTGTTGGAAAATGTCCATTTTTAGTTTGTTGTTGCTGCTTCTTTTCCCTTTTCGTGGACACTGCATGGGCGCCATGTGTGAGCAAAGTAGAGGGAGTCCAGTCCCATCCCCCCACCACACATTGTTCTCCTCACTGGATGTGGAAATTTCCCTCATGTCTATGCAAAGTGCTTGCTTTCCCTCGTTTGTCTCTCCTTCCTGCTTCTGTTCTTTCATTATTCTAGACTTTATTCACATCTAACACACTTTAAATGCACCAACTTTCCTCTGGACTCCTTAAGTTTCTGTATTTATTCTCCTTTATCTCCATAATATTATCTCCTGTAATACTTTGCTGATCACATTTTCCCAGTTTTCACGACTGCTGCATAGTTTTGTAAATTGCTCGCGGTATTTACGTGCATGCCCTTTGCTGTGTGCTGTAGTCTTTCCTCTGCATTTGGCCTCATTCCTCTGGCATGTGAGTGGGATCTGCAAGTGTTCAGAGCTGTGAGGTTGCAGCAATGTTTTATTGGTGACTGTTATTTCAGAAACCCGATCAGATAGAAGTCGGGGAGGACGGCTTTAGACAATGGGATGGTAAGACTTCACTGAAGACTGCCAGTGACTCACTGATCATCAGCACACCTGTCACTTGACTGTAATACACCCCCACCCTCCACCATCACACACATCACTGCCATTTCACATCATTAACATTTAGTTTATAAAAAAAAAAAACATCAAACACATTCCCACATTGCTTTTGTTGATACTAACACTCTGTTCTTTCCATCATCTTCCCTTTTTTTTTTATCAATCTTGCTCTGCAGTGATCACAGCTTTGGATATGGAGGCCATGACCAACACGGTAAAAGGCTGGATCGAGAACCCGGTGAAGTTCGCCAGATCCCACGGCGTCGCCCTGTCTTCTGCCTCTGGCGTGGCGAACCCAGACGAGCAGATCCACATTCTGATTGTGGAGGGATTCCTGCTCTACAACTACGCGTAAGTTCATCTTTTTTTTTTTTTTACTGTCATTGGCAAGTTTACATGCATGAGTGCAGCTTCCTGAAAAACCAGTACAGCCACATAATGTTGACAAAGGCTTCAGTTGTGGTGAGAAGTGTGGTGTCTACGTGCAGTACGTAGTGCAGGAGATTACGTGACTGCCTCTGAATACATAAGTTGTGTTAGCTTCCACACTTCATAAGTTCAGAGAGAGAACAGGTCATTTTTGCCCTCGCACGTTCTAGGACGTTCACGACAACAAAGTGAAGGCGGGCAGGGTTGAATCTGTCACGTGATGTTGACAGAGGCTTCAGTTGTGGGTAGACTTGTGGTTTGCACTGTGAGCACATTGTGTCTACGGAGCGGGAAAGTTTGCATAAATACGCTGTGCTCACTTTCACAAACCACAAGAGAGAAGAGAGCAGGTCATGTTTGTCTCGCACGTTCCAGGAAAGTCATGACAACAACCTTTAGGTGGCTTAATTCTGTCACATGATTATTTTGTGTTCTTGCCACCGGCTCACGTGCTCGTGACCCCCCACACAGTCTGACTTGACCGGTGCTGCAGATAGAGATAAGGAGAAAGAGGCTCCTTGAGTTGTCCATTAATGAGGCAGCTGGGCGGGGCTCTCTGTGCTAGTTCTGGATGTCAGGCACTCTGCAGAGATAAGCAGCCGCATGAACACTTGTGTATTTATACTCCTTTTACTGTGAAGATGTGGCACGTTCTCATGAACTCGTTCTCCTCTGCAGGCCCCTGCGGGATGTTTTTGACAAGAGCTATTACATCACCATCCCCTATGAAGAGTGCAAAAGAAGGAGAAGGTGAGCCGACACAAGCATCCTCTCATGTTTGGCCTTTTTGATTCCTCGTGTTCGGTGCAAACTCTCACACTGTGCATTTCTAACTTCCAGTACGAGACAGTACACCGTCCCCGACCCCCCGGGCCTGTTCGACGGCCACGTGTGGCCCATGTACCTGAAGCACCGGAGAGAGATGGAGGAGAGCGGTCTGGATATCGGTACGTCACAGCTCATTTGTGTGTTGTCAGATCAGTTTGTTTTCATAGAGATACGTTCTAAGAGCTTCAATAAAAAGCAGCTGGACTTAAAACAGAAAAGTGCAGCTGCTTTTTGCAGAAGCTCCAGAATGAACACAGACTCTGTGTCAACATTTACAGTTACAGTGCAGGTTACAAACATCTGATTGACTTTCTTTTTTTGTTGCAGAGAGCCTGGATGGTTCTAAATCCAAAGAGGAGCTCTACAACCAGGTGTATGAGGACATTCAGAACAACCTGCTCAATCGTTTATAGGTAAGGAGGTTAAGGGAGTGACGTTTAGTGAGTTTACGATAAGATAAACTTTATTAATGCCTCGCTGGGGGATGTTAGCAGCAGCCGAGTCATAAAGATAAAAGCAGAATGAAAGATAAAAGCAAGCATGAGCTTCTGCAGGAGTGTAGAAATGAATGAGTTCAGCAGTTAATGAACAAGCTGCATGATATAGAAGTGTTTAATGATGTACCAGTTTGTCTGACGGCATTTCTTTCTGTGTTTCTTGCAGCAGGACGCCTCCTCCTCCTCCTCATACCTGTACAGAACCTGTAAATAGAACCGAGGATTCTTTTGTTTTTTTATGGATTTTTTCTAATTTTATTCTTTGTATGTAAATAGAGCGACGTTAACTTAATCATTGTCTTTTTAGTCGTCTTTGGATGGATCTTGTTCTTCCTTTATCGAACCCATCCTTACTGGGCTCCTGTTCTGTTTCTGTATCGACCCGTTTGTCTGTCGATCGCATCCTCCTGCAAATAAACACATCGGCTGCTGTCGGAACAGAAAACTGAACGTGTCGTGTCGTTTCTGATGTCGTATCCGCGGCTGACATAATCCAAATATTTACTTTCGTTTTCCTACAGTGGGTTACGTGGGAACTTTATCTCACCCAAAATACTGAATGTTTTCTTTTATCTGGAGTGTTGGCTGCCGTCACTTCACTTATCTCCACTGCCAAGATGTTTAATGTGGGACATTAAGACCACGAGCTGAATAAAGTGTTTGTTTTTGGTGAGAGTATAAATGAATCCTTGTTTGACTGTTTCTAAGTTCCACGGTTTGCTGCCCTTGTTTTTAGGAGACATTAAATCTTCAGTCCATCCCGGCCCAAATCTCCTTCTAGATCATCACTCCTTGATCTTCTGATCACAGACGCCCCTCATACTGATGCTGGTGTCTTTGGGAACCATTTGAGTGACCGCTGTGCTGCTGCAGTGGTCAAACATGCCCAAAAACTAAATCACAAATTCTACTCAAATAGATTTTAAACGTTTTCACGAGCGGGCTTTCTGCCATGATCTGAGTGGAAACGAATCTCCCTGGAGCTGCAAGGTGGCTCAGTGGTTAGCATCGTTGCCTCGCAGCTAGAAGGTCGCCGGTTCACGTCCCGGTGAGGACACCCGGGATCTTTCTGCGTGGAGTCTCCATGTTCTCCCCGTGCAGCGTGGGTTCTCTCCGGGTTCTCCGGCTTCCTCCCACAGTCCAGAAACATGCTGAGGTTAATTGGTGATTGTAAATTGTCCGTAGGTGTGAATGTGAGTGTGCTTGGTTGTCTGTCTCTAAGTGTAGCCCTGTGATAGACTGGTTACCTGTCCAGGTGAACCTGCCTTCACCCTGAGTCAGCTGGGATAGACTCCAGCCCCCCATGACCCTAGTGAGGATTAAGGTGTAGAGATGATGGATGGATGGAGTTGGCCCTGAATTTCTTTCATGCTGAACTCTTGAAGTGTTTTAAACTGGTTCTGAAGTCATCAGTCCTGCACTTTATCTGCTTACAGTCGACACTTTCCATTGTTAATGTTTATTTTGTGATTGTTGTGTTTATTTGTAGACGTGTGCTGCTGCCTGTCTTGGCCAGGTCAACCTTGTGAAGGAGGTTTCGATCTCAGTGGGTCTTCTATCTGGTTAAATAAAGGAAAAAAATAAAAACATTAGACATTAATTATCTGACACACATTGTACATTTGTTAGAATTTTACGTACATCTGAAAACAAACTGATCTCACTGCAGATACAGCACACATAGATGAGAGCAACGTAAATACAGGAACATCTAGCTTCTTGTAAGATGTATAATGTCTAATCAGAGCTTATGGGAAGGATCTTAGTTATCTGCTTCAACCAGGCGGAGATATATATGCAACTTGTATCATGCTTTGTGTTGTTTTTGGATGATGCTGACCGCCATCTTTGTTTTGGGCAACTAAGGACTCGAGGCTGATGAGTGTTTGGTGAGTAGTTGTACGTTTTCAGACAACTTCGATCAACTTTGGCTGCCGGTACGTTTTAGGATTGACTTTAAGATTCTTTTAAAGCACTCAGCGGTTTCTGCCCTACTCACACTGCCGACCTTTTAACACCGTACTCTCCACCAAGCTCTTTAAGCTCCTCGGGTCCTGTAACTGTTCCAGAGGCCCGGCTCAAAACAAAAGGGGACCAGACCATTTTTAATCTGAGGCTCTGGAGCAACTTGCCCGAGGAAACCAGGTCTGTGCTCCCTTTCAAGTCGCTCCTTAAAACACATTTTTATCGGAGAGCTTTTCCTGATTTCATTTAAGTTATGGTTTATAGCTTCTTGTTCTATTTCTATTTTCTTCAACTTTTCAGCAGGTCAGTGTTTTCCAGCTCCTCCTCCTGGGGGATCCTGAGGCGTTCCAAGGCCAGATGGGATATCACAGCTCTCCCAGGGAGTTCTGGCTCTAACCTGGGATCTCCTAGCATGCTTGGGAAACCTCCTATCAGATGCGTGGACCATCTCTAGGAGCATTGAGACGACCTTCCTCCAGACGTCCAACCTCCTCATCCTGTCTCGGAGGCTGAGTCCAGACGACGTGCACGGGTAACTCATCTGGATCACAAACCTCCCTCTGTGCAAAAACTCACTACCATAGATCAGAATATAAATCGACTTGTAGGTCAAGAGCTCTGCTGATGTTGCACCAATCCGTCTCCCTTTTCACATCACTCGTGAACAAAAACTTGAAACCTAAACTCTTTCACCCTCTCCCTCACGTTTAACCAAACGGAACCGACCCACCGGTTACCACCACAGAACCACGGCCTTGAAGGTGTCGACTGTAATTCTGCAAACCGCCCCATCGTGAGCTAAAGGTCACGTCCAGGTGAAGCCAACAGAAACACATCGTCTGCAAAGAAAAGTAGAAACATGTAAAAATGTCTTTTTTGTTAGTTCAACATGTTTAAAATTCAGATTTCTTACCACAGATACATGAATAAAACTTCTTATTTTTAATAGATCCATATTTAAAAATCTGAATTTTCTAGTTTTTCAGCTTTACCATTGTTATAGGTTTATTTATAAAGTAAACACACTAATAAATGTCAGATTTTTCACTCTAGATAAGTCAATAAATTAAAGCAAATATAAATTTTTATGCTCGCTTTTATGATAACACCATTAAAAAATGTAAATTAAAGTATGGAAAATGTCCCGTTACTGCTGGGAACTGTTAATTAACAGATTTTTAAAAATATATCTATATTTATTTTGTTAGACTCTATATAAACAATCAGTTAGTGTTCCAAATAACTTTTATTTTCTATCAATCTGTCGCTGTTTTTATCAACTGATTAGATGTTAAAATGTCAGAAAATTATAAAATAAAGAGTTCATCAGTGTTTCCCGAAGCTGAACAACCCAAAAACATTCAGTTTAGTGTCACAGAGGAGCAAAGAAACCAGAAAATATCCACATTTAGAAAGTCGATTGAGCAATGAACCCAAACCGATTAACTGATGATCAAAGCTATAGCTGGTGATGAATCTAATAGTTGCTAAGTGACCCCTACAGGGTCTGGGTTTAGGCTTGAGCCTCGTATCCGTCCTCTGGAGGTTTCTGCAGCACAGCAGCGGCTCAGAAATAGCTGCCTCGGCTTCCCCCAAGTAGACGCCTGAGTAGGTCACAGACTCGCACAGATTCAGGTTATTAGCGGCAGATTTACGGCACATGAGGCCTCGGCCACGTGCGGCGGCGCTCGCGTATAAATAGGACAGAATCATTTCCCATTTCCTCGTCCCGCCGCTTCAGCTCATCACGGCGCCGCCAAACATAGCCCGGGTCAGGCAGGTGCTGTATTTTAGGCGTCCTCATTTCCAGAGTGGATTGGAGTCCAATAATGATCAGAGGAACAACAGAGCACCGGGGCGTCTGAACCCGACTCGTGTTCAAGACTCGTATCCATACATGTGTGACCTCTGGCTGCAAACATCTATTTATGTTGTGTGATTATAAGATGAACACTGAGAAGGTGGCGTCACAAACAGGAGCTGGTCTTCAGCTTTAGTTCTACCAAGAACATTGAAGCCAAGTTATTTCTTTGAAGGACCCCTAAACGTACCTCAGAGAACCTTAAAACAAACGGTTCCCTTTGGCCCCATAAATCCAAATAACTTCAGGTTCAAGGTAATTCTTTGTGGAACCACGTAGTTCAATGAAAATGAGTTCTTTAGTTGGAAGTTAGCCTCGTGCTAAATCCAATGTATTTACTGCCACCTGTAACTGTACATTGCTCATTAATATCCCATCCAAATGAATAAAAAATGAACCAGAACCTCCTGAGGATCCATTTAGGAGCCGGTACTGTTTCTGCAGGTGGTCCTCGTGCAGCTCATAAAGTTTCTGGACTAAAGCGGATTCATGTGGACCCTCCAGCAGCCCCTCTTTAGGTCCTCGTGACTCCAGCCCAACACGTCACCCATCACGTAGCGACCAGGTGATTCCCATGACGCTCTGACAGGTGGTCGATGAGCAAACCGGGCTGGACTCGAGTCCCGGTGCTAAAAACGACAGCAGCATGTGTGATGACTGGAAGCACGAAGACCGACGGGTCGGGTCGAACATGAAAACACTCAGAGGTGAAATCTGAAATAACACAAGTTAAATATATATATATATATATAAACACAGGTGAACGTCTGAACTTTGCTCTGGAGGAAGTTCTACTGATAGACAGTGGTCCACACATACACTGTAAAAAAAAAAATTTTTAATTTTACTTTTAAGAAAAAACTATTTACTGTTATTTTACAGATTTTCCCTGTTTTGTTAAATTACAGATGATATCCAGCAAAATCACAGGAAAAAGCTGAGAATTTACATTTAGACTGTAAAAAACAAACAAAACAACAACAACTACTGTCCAAACTGTAAATAATGTCTTCCTACAATTTTTTTATTTTTTTTATTTTTAAATAGTAATTTATTCTTTTGCAATGTGTGGCTGTAAAATTAAACCATTTAACTGTCTTTAAATCAGCTAATTATATTATTATTATTTTTAAAATATTTGCCGTTATTTGAAATAAATGTCTGTTTATTACGATTTTAAAAATGGACATTGTATTTTATTTACATACTATATATAATAACTACTAAAATACACTGGGGGAATTATATTTCTTTATTAATTAATTTTTTTTAGTTTCTTCCACACATAATTGTTTATTTTTTATTTATTTGTTTGTTTATTTTTACTGTATTTGACAGTAAAATTACATTGTTTTTGCAGTATTTAAATCAACAACAACAAATCATTATTTTACTGATATGCTGGTATTTTCACAATTTTTACAGTTTAATGTTACAAAAAAAATTAAGATAAAAAAGCTGTCCAAACTGTAAATAACGTCCTCCTACAGATCTTTTTTTTAAATTTTTTTTTACATAAATGGTAATTTATTCTTTTACAATGTGTGGCTGTAGAATTAAACAGCAAGATAAAACTGTTTGTTTTATATTTGGTCCCATGTTGGTGACACTAAAGCCAGGAAAGGTGTGTTTCTGTCAGCGAATCAGAGCCGGAGGAGGAGGACCAGTGTGTGGCTGGAGGCATCTCATCCATCCGGCTGCAGCTGGAGCCAACTGGAGCCGCGGTGACGTTCCACGAGTCCCTCATGGTTCCTGCTCAGATGTCTGAGAGCCTCCGCGTTCCTGCCAGACTGGAGGTATGTTAGAGGAACGTTTGATTGGTTCTGACCTGCTCTGATCCACAGTCGACCTGCTGCACGTCTGCTGAGGAACAAAACAAAGGCAAAGGTGAGAAACTCTGAACTACTTCAGAGCAGCTGAGCTCCTGCTGAGGAAACAGCAGCTACATGCATCCATATATATATATGCATAAAGCCTTTATATATACATCTATGTGTGCATCACAAACCCTCGTCCTGTGGGGAAGCTGGTGTCCTTTACTCTGTTATAATATTAATAATAATGATGATGATGATAAAAAGTTTTTCTATCGCAGCTCTCAAAGCAGAGCAACAGAAACACAATGAAACATTAGAAAGTACATCATGAAGCTATAAAAGCTTTTAAAGTTGTTATTTACTGTTAGTCTCACTATTATTAATACTATAATAATTAAATAAATCCATAAAACAAGAGAAAAAATTCTGGCAACTCATTACCCAGGTGTTGTAGTTTAAAAATGAAAATAGAAAATTAAGAAAGAATCTTCAGTAACTGGAAGCAATGAGACATTTTCAGTATTTTAATTTTAATTTTAATTTCTATCATTAAAAAAAACAAAAACACCATTAAATACATTTTTATTGGTGTCTGTGGGGATTTACATTAATATTAATAACAACAATTTCCTGTTATTTATTGGTAAATCTATAATTTTTTAAAATAATAATAATAATTTAAAAAAATATTATTTATTGGTGTATCTACAGTATAAAGCTAAAAATATTAAATATAATCCATAAAATAACAACAGTTTATTTGCGTCCAGTAGCAGTAAGAAGCATTTTCTGTATTTTAATGGTGAATGTATGTTTTAAAAATAAAGAGAAAAACAGGGGAAAAAAGCATTTTAATGGTTTATCTGTAGGAAATATACATGTTTTCTACTCTTCTGTACAAATTATTTATCTGCGATAAAAAGAAAATACAGGTAAATCGATAATAAAAATAGATATTTAATGTGATTTAATGGTAGAAAATAAAAAGGACAATTCTGTAAATTGCTCATTTTAAAACAGTAAATGGTTTTCAGTGTCATGTGAAGGATGCTGACCTCCTCTGAACTGAGCAGCTGTGATCAGACACAGACATAAAATCGTGTCCTGAAGCTGGAGGTCACGTTCAGGTTCACATCAGGTGAAAACAACAAATGAAGGAGCTGAGCTTGTTTTCACTGATTGACTTCTGAAGTGATTAAAAGTTGGGCTTCAGCTTCAGATAACAGTTTAGTCTGAGCAGAGCTCCACGGTCACGTCGGGTTCCTCTTATCTTCATCCACATCCGACCTGTGGAGGTGAGTCGTGACGTGTCCGCGTGCGTAAAACTCGGCAGCAGCAGCAGAGTGTCTGCGAGGATCGAGCGCCACCATGTGGTGAGGAGCTCCATGTGGCCTCAGAGGGGAGAGAAAGTCCGGATGGAGCTCCGCTGTGCGCGCTGCCGTGCGCGTGTGGTGAGGAGCTCCATGTGGCCTCAGAGGGGAGAGAAAGTCCGGATGGAGCTCCGCTGTGCGCGCTGCCGTGCGCGCTGCCGTGCGCGTAATGTGCCGAACAGAGAGGAAACTAACGCAGAGAGTAAGAGTCTGTTTCTCCACTTTTAACTGACTTTCTGACTTTAACGTTTGTCAATCACGAATTAACTGGTCATAGAGTTGAATATGAAGGACCGTAAAGGAGATCTACAGTTTAAATGCAGCTGCGGTGGAAACCAAAGGAGAACATTGAAAACAACGCGTTTTTAAAATTGTTTTCTCCTGGTTACCTTGCTGTCAGATATTTATTTATTTATTCGTTTATTTATTTATTTAGTTAGTTAGTTAGTTATGTCTGTGTACTAAATAAATTGAAATTAAAAATGTAAAATTAAAACAAACAGATTATCTGGCAGCAGGTAGCCAGAAAAAACCAAGCTGATCAATAATGAAACACTGCTGCTGCTCAGAAGCTGTAAACATGGTGAAAACAGCAGCAAATGTCTGTAAATTATTATTTCTCTGATTCCAAAACAGACCAAGTTATTTGTCCTTTTTCATTAACATATTATTGTCCTACTGTTATACTAATATTATTAATATGCCCTTTAAAAAAAACGACAAATAAATGTTTGAAAATATTTTTTGCTGATTTGAAAACAGTTTACCCTGTTTGTTTGTTTTTTAATTTAAAATTAAAAATAAATAATAATAATAAATAAAATAATGTTTTTTTTGCTGATTTAAAGAGAGTAAAAAAATATAACTTTAAAGTCAAAAACTTTAACGACAAAAATCCCAAATATCAAATATATGTTTTATGTATGTAAAATAAATCTACATTAAGAGATATACATAGAATATAATAATAAATAATAATAAATGTATTTATATTTGGAAAATATTTCCAATTTTGGACTATTTTTGCTCTGGATGGTTAAAATATAAACTATCATGTTTCCTACTCTGTGGTTCTGCAGCTCCATGAAGCTCTGATGGAATCACAGATAACCTCCAAATGAATCACTTGTGCGTCACAGCGCAGAGCTCGGACAGACCTGTTGGATGATTTGGTGATATTTGGTGACCAGGCTGCGTCTCTTCTCCACCTTCATGTATTTCTGTCAGAAGCAGAGTCTACAGGTCCAGATGGTTCCTCTGACAGCAGCAGCTTCTCACTGTGAATGGATGCGTAAAAGCGCTTCTACAACTCACAGGACAGCCAATAGGAACCGGACCCTCTCTCCGGTGGAGCTGTGCGCAGCTGCGTGACGGAGTCCAGTGAGTCCAGAACACCTCCTCACCTCCGCGTTAAACTCTCCTGTTTGTCGTTAATGCTCCAGTTCTGCTGCTGTTCGGCTCGAGGCTTCATCTCACGGAGCCATGCAGAGGTTCGTGTGTGTGTCCGTCTGCCTGCTCGCTGCTCTGCTGTGTTTGGGTGCCGCTCAGCACCACGTTGGACCGTGGAGACACCGGATCCAGTGGGAGAACAACGGCCAGGTGTACAGCTTACTGAGCACCGGGACTCAGTACCGTCTACCTGCGCAGACCAGGAGGCGCACTCAGCTGCTGCTCACCGCCAAAAACGGTTTGAACCAAATTAACTCTCCTGTTGCGCTGAGCAGATCCACCAGAACCAGAACCGTGGCGCTCAGGGACGGCAGACTCTCTCAGCAGAACGACCTCATCCAGATGGACACGTCGGTTCTCGGTCCTGAGGCGGGTCAGTATTTAATCTCTGCGGGGCGACCTGGTGCGCACGGTCAGGCCCCGCCGCGCCTTGGAACCACCGCAGGAGCTCCGGGATTCTCCTCATACCGGGCACCGTCTAACGGCAGCGCCATCAGCACCCAGGAGTTCTCCGGCAGCGGAGTCCCCCGAGGAGGCCGGAGCACGCCCGGAGAGCAGCAGCAGGCCAGCGCGTCGCCGGTGAGAGCACCAGACTTTACGCACGGCAGGGTCAGGTCTGGCGGCTCGGATCCACCGCCTCGGTCTCCCGCCACATCCGTCTGGGTCTCCGCGGCTGAGGACGCGCGTCGGATCCCTCAGCAGAGCAACTTTGGAGACGCTCCGAGCGCGCAAAGGCTGCAGAGAGCGCAGCCACTGACCCGAGGCGCGCCAGAGTCCAGCGCGCCTCCAACAGCTGCGTCCAGCAACTCTGTGGAGATACACTTCCCTCGGAGGAGCCAGGAAGCAGCTTCAGACGTGGGTGACCCGAGAGATCCGCACAGCATTCACCACAGGAACTCAGTTTTCTACAATGTTTACCCTCCGGACCGCAGGAACAGGATCAGTGCGCGCCCCCCGCCTGGACCCGGCTACGGCACCAGGTTCTTCCACAACGGTGAGGCACCAGAGTGTCAAAAGTAGGATCATTACAAAAAAGTAGTATTTCACTTTTTACACCCTGAAACCTCTGAAACATTCACATCCATCATCTCCGGTGCAGTGGAGCTGAGCCGAGGCTCCAGATCCCGTTTGGTTCTGATGCGCCGCATTTTAATGCTTTTTTAATGAGAGTCAGAGTTAATGTGGCCCCTGTGACACACTAATGTCTTCAGTCTGAGAGCCTCTGAGCTGAACTCAATCTAAAAGCCTGATTGATGGAGTCATTAGTGGCAGCCGGCAGTGGTTCAGAAATCACGTCTGCAGGTTCTGACAGTAAAGTTCTCATAAAGTTCTCCACTTGTTCTCCTGCTGCACGTCCTCAGCGCGTTAAAACCAAATGCAAACATTAAATTACTGGTTTCAGACGATGTTTAACTTCAGTTGCATTAGTTAAGACTTGTCTTATCTTCGACATTTGTGCATCAACATCTGTAAATAACTCTAAACTTAACTCAGAGGACCTCCTTCATTAAATTCAGGGTTACAAGATAAAAATTCTGATTATTAATTTAGATAAAACTTCAGATTTCAGGCATTGTTTTGATGGGTTGGGTTGAGGGTTAGGGTTAGGGGTTACACTCTTATTAGTTGCTTTTATTTTTTAAGATTGTTCAGAAACACAAATTCAGTTCAAAATGTTCATCAGACAAAATTTAGTCTGATTGATGATGTTTGTCTTCAGCTTCAGTCTGTTCAATGTCATCACTGTCTGAACACATTTAATGCAAAAACTGTGAGATGGTTAAAAAAAAATATTTTGATAAATAAACAAACAAGCAAGAAAAAAAAAAGTTGCCTGGGGAAAAAAAAAGAAAAATAGGGAATACTGTAAAATTTAGAAAACTGGAAAAATGGGGGGAAATAGCAACAACAACAAAAAAAGAAGGATGCAAAGTAATAACTGTAAATATCTGTAAAATAATGATTTTAGTTGATTTAAACACAGTAAAACAGGTTAATTTACCAGTTACGCATAAATAAAAGAACAAATATTTGTAAGAAAAGAGATTTTTATTGTGGACATTTCTGGTTGTTTAACAGTTAATGTGTAAAATCACTTTATTTTCCCCCTGTAGTTTATTATTAAATATTATCTCTAAAGAGAAAACTTGTAAATTAAAGTTAACATATATATATATATATATATACATTAATTAAAAAGAATATAATTTACGATTTTTTATTTTATTTTTGAATTTTTTTTATTTTTACATGTACATTTTTTTTCTGTGATTTTATTGGATTTTATCTGTAATTTAACAAAACAGGTCAAATCTGTGCAGAATCAAGAAACTGGTCAGAAATGTTTAAACCTGTTAGAAACCCGTTTGTTTCACAGAGTGCAGCCCTGATCACTGATTTAAAGTGCTGGACTGGTTCTGTCTCCTCCAGGCCTCCCAGACCTGGTTCCTGACCCGTACTACATCCAGGCAGCCTCCTACATCCAGAGGGTCCAGATGTACGCCCTCCGCTGTGCCGCTGAAGAAAACTGTCTCTCCAGGTGAGTCTTTCATTGACTTCATCCTGCTTCAGTCCCAGAACCAGTTAACTGCAGATGGAGTTGAACTTTCTCCTTCATTGACAAACATTGTGTGAAGCAGCTGCTCTGAGATAAAAGCCGCTGCTGCCTTCAGGTGTAAATCAGAGAAATTCCCTGCGTTCTGAGGCGTCCTGGCCTCGGTCCCGTTTGGACTCTGCAGCCGAGTGACCGAGCGGCTGGACGCAGAGCTGTCTGGCAGCAGCCGGAGATCCTCTGCTCTGATCTGAGCAGCTGCTTCGCCAAATAAAACAAAACCCTGACATGAAAGGTGGAGGATTTTCTGAGGTGAATGCAAAAGAAATACTGAGGCAAAGAGCAGAAGCAGCTCCTGCAGATATTTCAGGTCAGAGATCTGCAGAGTGGAGCAGGAACCTGTCAGTCACACAATCGGGTGTTTTAAAAGTAAGACGAGCAAATAAAAAATGTGCAAATCAAGCAGAAAAACCCCAAATGTTTCCGGGATAACTTCACTTCTGGACTTCTGGATGTTACACATTATAGGACACATGTGATGGTTTAAAGAAGTGAATAAAATCAATAAGGTGCAGCTCAGTGTGAACAGTGAATAAATAAAAGGTGAAGATGTTTTCAGAGTCTGTAAATCTAACAGCGAGCAGATTTAATCTATTAATTGGATCATGCAGGCTCAATTAACCGAACGCCTGACCAGCTTAAATTTGACAGATTTTTCTTTTTAGGGCAGAATATTGATCAAGTTGATCACCTGGGACCAAAGGTTAAACAGTTTATGAGTTAAAACTTCTTCATTTTTGCATTTGAAGAGTTCATTTGCAAAACCAGAGAACTCCAACACTTTTATTTTTGTTGTTTGCTTGAGATAATATGGATCAAACTGAAGCTGAGTGGATCTGACTCAGTAAATACTCAATGACTCAAAAATAGAGATAACTTAACTTTGATTCATGTTGTCTCAGGTAGATGAAGGTTTTCTGAAGGTTTGTGAATTTGGAGTTCTCTGTTTTTGCAAATGAACTCTTCATATTTTCTTCACATCGATCTGAGGATCAGTGTTTAAAGCTCCATAACTTGATCAATCTTGCAGCTGGAGTCCTGAAACTTTACTCATTGATATGCACATTTGCTCTTTAATGGCACAACCCTGCTTAGATAGAAGAACACAAACCAGTTATATGATGGCGC